TTTCTTCTCTACCTCATTCTAGGGAATCAATTTACTATAAATTCTTGGGATACTGTCTCTTTTCCATTGGCCCATTTTCTGCCAAACATTCATTTTGTGTTGCTAACAAGGAGGGACAGAGAGGTGGCTTTTGTTAAAGTAAATTCGGCTCATGGAACATCCATTTCTAGGTACAAGATCTCTTTAAAGGAAAACTTCTGACCCAACATAGAAATAATTAAATTGTGTAGCACTTGGGAGGCTAGGCAAGAGCACTGCAAGCATGAGGCCAATCTGGACTACATAGTAAGGCCCTGTGGGAAGGGACAGGAGGTGAAGAGAAGGGAAGGAAAGGGGGAAGGGGGAAGGGAAGGGGGAGGGAAGGAGGAAGGGAAAGGTAGGGAGAGAAAGGGAAGGGAAGGGGGAAGGAAGGAAAGGGAAAAAAGGGAAGGGAAGAGGGAAGGGAAGGGGTAGGGGAAAGGAGAAGGGAAAGGGGAATGGAGAAGGTAAAGGATGGAAAGGGAAGGGGGAAGAGAAGGGAAGGGGGAAGAGAAGGGAAGGAGGAAGAGAAGGAAAGGGGGAAGAGAAGGGAAGGGGGAAGAAAAGGGAAGGGGGAAGAGAAGGGAAGGGGGAAGAAAAGGGAAGGGAAGGGGGAAGGGAAGGGAAGGGAAGGGGGAAGGAAGAAGGAAAGAAAAGAAAGAAGAGAAAATAGGAAAAGTTATAAGCCATTTTAAAAGAGACCAAGAAGGCTGACCACTGTCCAGACTTGTGCAGGGCTAATATTTTACCCCAGTAAAAGCCCACAAGTTACCCTGCCTTGGTACATGTGTGCTGGCAGAAGACCCAATCTTCCTGGGTCAAGAGGAAGGGCAGTTCGTTACTCCTCACACTAGCAGTAGCCAGAGTAGCAATATATTTTGGTGTTGCGTTTTAGTGTCAGTTTTTTGGAAGTCTCAATTCCCATGAAGTGTTGCAAGCAGGTCAGATGCCACCTTACCTGTGGGTTCCAATCCAGGACACTGAACTCTGAACTTAGGGAGTCCGGATCTGTAATGGGCAATAATATGCCTGCTCGTTGCCCTAAGGGGGAGGCACCTGTAACTTCCAATGCTGTTTGCTACACACACCAACGTTCTTGAAAAGGCAATCTCTGCTCATGAGACACACATAGACATAAGGGAGCTAATGTAAAGCGGTCTCCTAACAACTGTAGCATGGAATTAAACACACACACACACACACACACACACACACACACACACACATGATTGAATCTCCATTAATGACTTTATCGAAGGTGAACCTTTCTTTTTCCCCCATGTTTGCCAGGGCCACCCACTTCTAGAATCCACCAGAACCATGTAGGCCCAGAGAAAGCCACCCAGCCAGTTTCATTGAATCCCTCACTGAGGAGTCTGAGCATGAAGGAAACATGTGCCAGAGAGAAACCTGGCCTTATTTGTCCAAATGACTCAGTGGAAGACCAGAAAAGCAGGTTTCTAGGACATAGTGTGCAGCTGTCTCGATATTGGTGCCCTGCTGAGATGTCTGCTTGGTGTGCTGGGATGGGAATGCACAGAGAAAAAATAGAAAGAAAATAATCCCTTCTTAAAATGATTCATTCCCAGGCAAGATGCACCAGTCAACAAGAGAGGACATCCGCCCTCACAGGGCATCAGAATGGTTTTAAGTCAAGCTCTTCTAGCGTTTCTTTCTGAGTGGGGGAGAGAGGAACTCCATGGAGTGTGGACAGCTCTGTCTCCTCCTAGGAGACTGAAAAGTCTTTCATAGGCATATTATAAACATACAGTAAAGTTATTCTGCAAACTCCAAAGGAAATAAAACTGGTTCTTAATAATAACTCTCCAGGATCATTTAGGATAAAATGAATTCAAGTAAAGAAAAGCCAATGGGGAAAAACATTGATACCTCTGTCTGTGTTCAACTTGAAAGTGCCTTCCAGGAAGTTCCAACTCCTAAATACAAGGTTTTTTGTCGTTGTTGCTGCTGTTGACTTTTTTTCAGACAGACAAGAGTTCCCACCACCCCCAGCACTTCCCTCTATGCCCTCTTAGGCCATGCAGTGCCACTAAAGGGTCCTGAATCTAGTGCCCAAAAACAGGAATCAAAGGAGGAAGGTGATAGGGTGGTAAGGCAGCACCCCCAAAGTGGCTGGATTCCAGGGAAGATTCCCAAGAACAGAGGGAGTCCCCAGAGTCTCTGACCCAGTTGCAAAAACAGAGTGGGGTGGAGACATCTCCCACAGCCTTGGGGCCTGTTTTCTTATGTTGAAAAGAATTCATGTTCCGGTCACTGAGCCTTCTTAGAAAGATTCAGGTACAACCACGCACTCATCTCTTGTTTCTAAGCTGATTTTGCACCGCACACAACCTCTTATAGGGACTTTGGGTGCTGAACAAAAGTCCAATATCTCTGTTCCAGAAATTAAAAAGCATCATTCTGTGATGCTGATTCTTCCATTGTCACCCTCCCAGGAAACAGACCGATGGAAACTCCAGCTGCTAAGCCCAAATCCAGCGACTTTCTGTCAGGGGAGAAGGAAAGAGCCTGAAAACAGAGGGGCAGCAGCCTGGGGCCTGGCTGCACTGCAGGAGTGGAACAGGGAGCCCCTTGTTCTTAGTAGTGAGGAAGAACTCCTTCGTCCACAAAACCTCCATTCTGACTCCACAGCTCAGACCTAACTTAGATGCAGCTCCTGGGTTTCCATCCTGAGAGGGGACTGAAAGCAAGCTCCCCAAAGAGGGAGGAAAGGTTACAAGTCATGGAGGTTATTGGAGCCAAACAGGCTTAGGACTGGATCTGAGATCTGTAACATGTGACCTCAGGCAGGCTGCTAAATCTTTTTGAGCTATCGTCTCAGTGTACAACCTACCTCCTGAGAGTAAGGTCAGGATTAAATGAAATAAGGTGTAGAAGCACTTCCACACTGCTTTTACCATGCTTGTAAGTGAAGCCACTCCATAAAGTTTAATCTTGTATTTCACAAATGTTCCGGTGAGCTCTAAACTAGAAGTTGGGTTGGGAGCCATTTTCCTATTGATGAGAGTCTGATAATGTCTTAGTTGTCACCTGTTCTAATTATATAACTTATGGAAGCTGAGCTCCAACCGTGCATCAGAGGACACAAGAATGAGCCATGGGCTAGTGCTGTAAAACCTAGGCAACCAGAAAGAAAATATCCCTGCTCTGGTCCTAGAGAATCCGATTGATTCTGTCAGAACTGAGATCAACAACTCAATTACTTTAAAGATTTCCAGGTGATTAAAATGTACATTCCAACCTAAGAACCATCACCCTGTCTGGGAAGAAAACTGTTTTCTTGAAGAATCTTTGTCATATTCCTCCAGATGGCAAATACATATTGATCTCTTTGATGGACCAGGCTTAGGACTGGATGCTGTGTTGAGTCCTAGTCCCCAAACTCAAAGGTCCCAGAGGCTAACAAAAGAGACCCAGCAGCAGGCAGGCAGCTATACCACTGTGGATGTGTGCTACGATGGGGTAGATGCTAGAGCTGCAAGTTAATGTGCACAGGAAGGGATCCACTCCAGCCCTCTGCACAGAGCCTGCTGGTGGAGAGGGTGTGACAAAGCCCCAGAGGAGAAAATACATGGAATATTCTAGAGACCCCAAGAATTCCATGGGCCTGGACCTTAATACAGGCTAAAATTTGAAGCAGGAGAGGCAGGGAGCAGCTCCTCAGAAGGCATGCAGAGGGCAGGTTTTTAAGCATAGGGTGATCAGAACATTCTGACTACTGGATAGAAGCAGCAGAGACAGGCAAGACTGGATACAGAAAAGCCAGTTTCAACATGGCTGCAGCCATCAAAGCAAATTTAACATGGGGCAGATTTGAGACGTACTGGCAGAAGGCAAGTTTGGTGACTGGGGACGTTGGAAAGGGACAGGAGTCAAGGAAGAAGCCAAACTTCAAGCTACTCAGGGGACCAGGTGATGCCACCCAAGCCAGGGTGTGTGCATGTGGAATCCGAGGCCTTTGGAGAGAAAGTCAATTCTTTTTTGTGGCAGTACTGAGGTTTGAATTCAGGGCATCCACTTCCGAGGCAAGTGCTCTACAACTTGAGTCACACCCCAATCCCCCTTTTCTTGCCTTAAGACCAGCTTAAGACCAGCTGTTAGATCCCAGTCCTCCTATCTCTGCCTCCTGCACAGCTGGAATTATTGGCTTGAGTCACCACACCCAGATTGTTCTCTGAGATAGGGTCCTGTTAACCTTTTTTCCCAGGATGGCCTTGAACCATGATCCTCCTACTCAATCTCCCAAATAGATGGGATTATAGGTCACCATGCCCAGTGGTAAGTCATTTCTTGCTTCATCTGAAGACTATAACTCGGGCTGGTCAAGCATAGTAGAAATCCAGCAATCCTGCACTTTTCTGACTTATACAGCTATTCCAAAATAAGTGGAATATTTTATGACATTGAAATCTTCTTGTAGATTTCTTTCATATTGGAAGCAGGGAGTTTTAATGACATGAATGGGGCATGGCCTAGGAGAGCACTGGAGTAGAAGCCCTCAGGGCTGAGCACATATTGCTCATTTTGTTTCTTTTTTTATTTTTTTCTTTTGGTGGCACTGGGGTATGAACTCAGGGTCTCACGCTTGCTAGGCAAGCATTCTTACTGCTTGAGCCACTCCACCATCCCTTTTTTTGTGCACGTGATATGGGTGTTTTCAAGATAAGGCCTTGCAAACTGTTTGCCCAGGGCTGGCCTCAAACCATGATCTTCCTGATCTCTGCCTCCTAAGTAGTTAGGATTATAGGCGTGAGCCACCAATGCCTCATCATCTTGTTTCTTTCTCAGTTCAAGAATGGGACCCACTCATTTGTTGATCTGAAGATGCCCCAAGAGAGGGCCAGGATGAAATGCTGACAAATAGTTTGAAAATCAAAAGCTAGATATATGGGTACCAGGTACCCTCATCTCTTGAGAACCCGAGAGAGTAAATCACCGCCTTAATGTATCCTGCAAGGCATACAGGTAAACAGGATTGTAAGCAGCTCCATTTATTTGAGTAAATAGCTTGTAAATAAATCATTGATAAACATTACAAAATTAAATACATTTTCAAAAGCTTGCCAGTATACATAAAATTCACAAACATAGTTCTTTTAAAAAATAAAATATGTTCAAAGCACCCTTGAGAGAAAATGCCTGGTCCCTGTCCTCAGACAGGGCCACCTGGAGACATCTTACAGTAGTCAGGACTTCTAGAAAGGCATCAGGGGCCTCCTGGAAGAAAGATAAAAGTTTTACTCTCAACTTTTACCCTGCCCTCGTTCCATGTGAATTTTAATTCTTCTCCAAAGTGCTGGTATATAACTGAGGGGACAGTTTAGGTGCTGAGGCCTGTCCAAGCATGGAGATCAAGGTCAGTCACACTTAGAGCCAGAAGGCCCACAAGTTCCCACCATGAAGTACTGAGAGAAGCCAGAACTGCAACCACACTTGCAAACCAGAAAATGCTGCTCTATCAAGTGTCTTGAGAGAAGATGAGGGCTTTTCATCTCTACACTTTGCTCAACACTCAGCTCCTGATCTAACACTACCCAGGCACAGCAGGGGCTAGAAACCACTTCTTAGGAGGAGGATGTCCAATCTGCTACTTTCCTTTTTATCTGCTTTCACACAGAGAGAATGATGCACAGTATTTGGTTGAAAGCAGCGTCAGTTGTCTCACTGGGCTTCCCTTTTCCATTGCAAAACACCACCAGATAGCATGGGTATTTCTCTAGAAGTCAGGTTAGTTCTTCAAATTAAGGGTTCATCAAACTTTAAGAGACCACAAATGGGGTAACAAGCCCACGGCCTGGCAAAGCATCCCAACCAATGAAATAATATAAAGTCCATAAACAAAGCCCTTGACCCAACTCAACTTTTTTGTAGTGTAGCTCATTAAAATAACGGATGCACTGGATCCTTTCAGTTTGGTGCCAAAAGTGAATGTTGATGGTCAACAGCACTTCCATGAAGAAGACTAATGGCCTCTCCAAAACACCTGCTGTGACCACTCATTACAGGATGACACACGTGTATTCCATCAATGTGAAATAAAACTCACATCTACATTTTAACTTAGCTGTGGATAGATATATACAAGTACAAGAAATTTGACATCTGAGTCAAATGTACAACTTAAGAAAAAAGTATTACCAAACTGGTTGTAAGAAAACCATCTTCCCTGTATAGTAAGGTCCTAAACATCTGAATCCTTGCAGAAAACACTGCCTGGCCTGGCCCATCCTTGGATGTCTACCTGCTTTTACAATCCTTGGTTGGGCTGTGGTCAGAGTCGTGATATCTTTGCTATTAAAATATTACAACAAAAAGGAACACTCTTGAATAAATGTCTAATAGATTCCCTCCTACACACACCAAAAAAAGAAAAGTTATTCATAAGGACAATTATCGTTTAGTAAAAGTCTTCATGAAGTCCAAATCCCAGGACTCTTTCTTCGTCTCTGAGAGAGTTCTACCCTGTTCCAGAATCATACACTCTTCTTCTGTGGAGGACTCAGTTTCCTCATGCCTCTTATCCGGGAGAGCAGCTCCTTGATAAATTCCTAAAAGAGATCAAAGAAGTTAATATGAGGTCACCCTACTAAAATCTATATTTAAAAATCTGCCTTAAGTAATTGCTGTCAACTGCAGTTAATCTTAGTTGATGAATTTGGTTGACTGTGTTAACCCCAACTGGTATAACACAGAAAATTTCTTCTTCCCTGCTTTACTCACTTTAGGGAGGAAGCCAGGCCGCCTTCCCCGATGATGTTACCTACATGATCTCTGAGGGTATGTGTGGTTTCTGTGCTCTTCAGCCTTGCTGTGTGCAAGACCTCCTGGAGATCTTGAGGAGGGCCAAGATGAAGTCTAAGACTCTCCACTTCCAACTAGGTCACAGATGGCAGCTAGAATAGCAAGGCTAGACCAGTGGTTCTCCAAGTTGAGGGTGCATCAGATTCACCAGGGGATTTATTAAGCCTCAGAGTGCTGAGTGCACCCCACAGAGTTCATCTATGCCTCTGACCACAGTCCAACCAAGAATTATGAAAGAGTGTTGATGGGAGGGACACTGGTGGCTCACACCTGTAATCCTAGCTACTTGGGAGGCTGAGATTGGGAGGATTGTTGTTTAAGCCAGCCCAGGAAAACAGTTTGTGAGACCCCCATCTCCAAAATAACCAGAGCAACATGGACTGGAGGTGTGGCTCAAGGGATAGTGCACCTGCTTTGCAAGTGTGAAGCCCTGAGTTCAAACACAGGAACAACAACAAACAGGGCGTGGGACTGACGATGTGCATTCGTGACACAGTGGTGTTGCTGGTCTCAAGAGCATACTGACAGCCAGAGCTCTAGATCACACGAGGAGTCTTGGGACTTTTCCAATTGCAAATCATAGACAAAAAATCCAATCCAAGCCAAAACCACATTTTATATTATAATCCAGTATCCACACACGAAGCTAAAATTAACACAGTGAATATTAACTATGCAATGCATTCTGGCATTTTCTACTCTACTGTAATTTCATTTTCAAAGGAATGCTGGAGAGACCCACTAAAATGATTTTGTGACCTATTAAATGGATCAGAACCCAAGAACTGAAAAACAGCCTACAGTGGTTCCTGCTCTGTGCCATCAGGAATCTGTCATTGCTGCTTCATATTTTAAAAGGTTTGAATAAATAAATCACATTTATTACATAATTATTACCTCCTCTTCCTGCTTTATATTTCTCAGAGGCAAAGCTGATAACTATAGTGTCAGACTTTCTAATCTAGTCACAGCTAGTGAATGACAGAACTAAGCGCACTGGGGACAAGCTAAGAGCAAAATCACTGAGACAGCTTACTCTCCCTAGAGGCTCCAAAACCCAGCTCTCAGTCCCTAGAAGCACTGGCAAGGCTCAGTTAGAAGCTCCCAGACTCAGCGGGTCCTGCACTGTTCTCCAGAACTACAACACAGGAAGTTGAAATATTTAATATTTTGTTCACCACCACAATTTGTTTTCTAAGTCTTTTTGCTATTATACAAGTAAAACATGCGTTTTCTTAAAAAAAAAAAAAACAACTTGGAAAATACAAACCAGCAACAGTGTACTCCTAAGAATTGACTATTAATACATTTTTCTTGTAAGGATATTATCTTTACTTAATTAACATCATACTCCATACTTTTTTTTTCCACTTAGCATTATGTTGGGAGCTTCTCCCCACAACATTAAACAGACTTCCTAAAAATTACTGCTGATGATTACATACCCTTTATTGTACAGACAGTGTACAGTCTGCTTAGTCCCCATCACTGTATTCCTGGACACTTCCTGGCTTTTCAAAATTATAAACAATAGCATAACTAAAACCTTTATGTATAAGTCTTTGTAGTTTGGATTATTTCCTCTGGTGAGCTGTCCCAGGACTGGGTCAGAAGACACATTCAATAGAATACAAGTGAAGTAAAATGGAGGCCCTATTTCAACTTCTGAACATCTATCTAATTTCAAGAATTTTCTTGTATGAAAAATACCATAGTTTCCTATTTGTATTCAATTTTTATTTTGAAAAGTTTGATGCATTTACAATTGTCTCCTGTACTCTGTGATTTAACCAATACATAGTATCAGCACACACGATTTCAATTTTAGAATGTTTTTAGAATGTGTTATGCAGATGACTACTGTAAAGAGTTTCTGTATCTGACTACAAATTTCCTTCTTTTAAAAATCCAAGCTCAGAATCACAAATCCTGTAACTTATTTTGTTAATAACTCTGGTAACATTTCTTCACTTTTTAAAATAACACCCTTTTACAAATTAAGGACTAAAATCACATAAGGAATAATGCACCCTAAACCGCAGACCTTTCTCTTCAAGACAAAAGTGATTTGGTAATTTAAATAGAATTTAACTTTCCCTCAAAAAAATCCGAGCATAACACATATGAATCTTAGAGATTAACAGGTTTAAATGATACAATTGTCTTGTGCTTATGACGTATTAATCTTAATGAAAAACTCTCATTTTAATTTTATATCAACAGGTCTTATATGTCCATATCTTAATACACTGTTTTGCATAACATGTGCATATCTAAACTGTTCGTTAAATTCTCATATTTGGGTGCTCAACTGAGAAGTTTAAAAAAAAAGCAAGACCAATATTTATTCCCCATACAGAAACTTGGCAACACCACTCACACAGAAGGATTCTGTTGCTCACAGATGATTCTCCAGAAAGATTCAAGGATCTCTAATCAAAGACTTTGATGGCTCTTGGTTCTTATTACTCAAAAACACTATAGTTCGGTGACAACACACCTCATTTGCTTCCCAAACACATCACTCAGCCTTGGATTGGGGACACTGATTTAGTCAAGAGAAGGGGTTTCCCTTTGAGGAAATCACCTCTGAGTTAAGACCTGAATTAATGGAGGAGGCTGACTTGGAGGAGACCTGGGGACTTAGGCAACAGTCTACATGTTGAGCTCTGAAGAGGAACAAGCCAAGAAATGTATGTCCCTTGCACAGAATGGCCAGGATGAGCAGGTGGGCAATGCTAGACGTGCTGAAAAGAATTCCTTCCCCTTTCAAGTTTCTGGAAGTTTGTGCAGAGTTGGTGTGAAGTCCTCCTTAGATTATCGGTAAAATTTCCCAGCAAGGTCATCTGGTCCTAGAGTTTTTTGTTTGTTTTCTGAAGAGAAGTTTTGATAGGCTGTACCTTTTTAAAAAAAAATTTGCCTGTGTAGAGCTGGCTGTGGTGTCATACCCTTATAATCCCAACTATTCCAGAGGTGGTGATAAGAGGATCTCTGAGGCCAGCCTGGACAAAATTTAGCAAGATCCTATCTCAAAAACAAACCAGGAATGGTGGCATATGCCTGTAATCCCAGCTACTCAGAAGGTGGAAGTAGAGGTAGGAGGAACACAGTCTGAGAAAAGCACAAGACCCTAGCTGAAAAACAAAAGAGGTCATGGTTCAAGTGGTAGATGGCTTGCTTAGCAAGTACGAGGTACTAAATTCAATCCCCAGTACCACCAAAAAAGAAAAGAAAAGAGAAACTTGCCTATGTTGGGAAAAACAAAACTGTTCCTACTTCACACACTCAACACAGCACACTCCTGGTCATAGAAATGTGAGGAGAAGGTGGGTTTCTGCACACACTGAGCAGTTCTCCAGTGGGCACGGACAGGGTGTCCTAAGAATCAATTCAGTCTGACACAGGAGTTAAAAGTCAGATCCTTCAGGTTAAAGTCTAAGTTCCACAAGACTGCCCCCCCACCTCAGATGCCCACCTCGGGTCACTGCCTTCATGCAGCTTCCGGCCTCATAGCTGGTTCATACTCTGAACAAGAAGTATGAATGCACACTTCTCAGTCACAGGATTTCCAGAGGGAAATGCAAAACTGTTTGAGGCAATTCCCTAACCACAAAGGGCATGACCTGTGATACTCATAAAAGGGCACTTGACTCTTTTATGACCTTCCAGTCCCTGGGGAAACAGATGTGTAAGGATAGATGAGGAACTCATGGGTGGGTATGAGTTCTATACTTGGATTTGGTTCGGGTTATGCTTGACACAAGAAAGAGAAGGGGAACTAACACTGATGGAGGTCTCTGTGCAACCCTTTTCCATGTTACCATATTTAATCTGATGCAGTAGGTTCTACAGTTCAGAAAAACAGATGTTCTGTTTTATTACAAGTCACCTGCCCAAAGCAAATAGTTTAATCTAGGCCTCTTGATGCCCCCTGAGTTGGATAAATATGTACTGAGCCCCCATTCAACCCTAAGTGCAGACTGTGCCAGATTCTTCTCTCTGCTGAGCTGCAGAGCAGAATGGGATAGAGTCCTATTTTTCAGGGTCTCCCAGGGCACCTGGGGAGGAAGACACAGAAACAGGCCTATTTCATAAGGCATGGATGGCAGCGCCAAGTGTGCTCACAGCACCCTGTAGGCAGAAGGACATGCCAGCCATTCATGCCTCTTCCTCCTGGCCACTCCCAGAGGATGACAGGAAAAAAGGAGGCCATAGCTCTAAGGGTCCCTGAGAGCAGAGACTGTGGATGCGAAGGCTACAGAAGGTAGACTGCCGATTCCCTCTCCTTCCCCTCTCCTCCCCCTCTCCTTCCTCTCTCCTTCCTTCTTTCCTTCCCTGTCCCTCCTTCAAGAGAAACTCATTATGGGGTGGGATGTAGCTCAGTGGTACAGTGCTTGCCTAGCATGCGTGAGGCCCTGGGTTCAATCCCAGCACCAAAAAAGAAAAGACAAAAAAAAAAAAAAGAAATTCATTACTAGCCAACTGTCTTCCACCAGTTTCTAAGATCTGTCCATTCTAGTCTCCTAATCATTGAAACACTATTTCAGTGAACTGCTACAATTTTTTAAAGGCAAGTACACATTTGGGCCATATTTGAAGGTAAATAGTATATTTTAGACTCTTCAGCAGATTTTGTCCAAATGCTGTTCAAAATGACACCTAAGAGATCCCAGGTGGGTGCCCTAGGATCTGCCTCCAGGGACAATGTTCACTGTAGGCTGCTGGACCAGCCCTGGATGGGGGACTG